TGAGTGCCGATAAATCTTGAGGCTCTAAATCCAAATTATAATTCTCCTTGTTTGAGGTAAGTTCCCCCCCCCCCCCAAATGTCATAGACAAACATTTTAAGAGATTTTTTGAAACTTTAACGGGAGAGAAGGATAAAAAATTACTACTTAGCGAGAGACATAGTGAGTATAGAGATAAGGTCTTAGACGAAAGATGGAATAAGAAAGAGAAACCCTGGATTAACTTTAGTAGAGATATTATGGTCCACTTTACTTACACCCCTAGTTTGGCCCGCTTTGGATCTAGATTTCATCAAATTTGAAAAGAAATTTTTGAGGAAACCCCACTGAGTGATGTCCCAGCTATCTTTGCCCATAAGTTAACAGATAATTTTAAAAGTATATTAGTTCATAAGAAACCCCCTAAGTCAGCGATTAAGGCATTAGTAGAGAAGTTAGAATAGGATATAGATAAGAGAAGTAGAGACCCCCTCCCTGCTTCCTTTTTTGTTTTTCTATTATAGATACGTCAACAACATCGACGACAAGAACGAAGGACCTGGCCTATTGTTGTTTTTTAGTCTCTCGTTCTTGTATGTTTTAGTTGACTTGTTTTTCGTTTTATTGTTTTGTTGTCTTGTATAATATTATAATATTTATACGTATTGTTTTATAATTTTTTGTAACGTGTGAATTTTTTATTGTGATATGGTTGAGTGACCAAGTTAGGAGGTCCCTCTCCATTAAGATTGAGTTTTGAGTTGAGTATTTTTTCCGGTTGAGTAACTCCCTTCCCCGCACCCACACTATCGAGATTGAGCTGTGAGTTAGAATATATTTAGAAAAATAGAAGATAATGATATTAGTGCGACATCTTTTTTCCCCCCAATGAGAATAGTACTCCTGAATAGAATAGAGAATTTTTCCATTGGATGAGTGTAGAGGTCAATGTACGAGAACAAAGATAGAGGAATGGAAAAAATAATAGATAGTCATTCATAGCCTGAAGAAAATTCGAAACGCGTCGCTTCTCATTACAATTTTCAATTGTTATTTATTATTTATTCATTATTTTTTGTTAACTACAATAAAATTATACAGAAATTAAATTAAAATTCATTTAAAAACAAGTTTGCTCTCATAAACTCTAAAAAAGATTCTTTCATACCTAAAATTCACCTAAATTCATTTTTTCTTTATTTCTCTAAATTAGTTTTTTTTTCTTTCAAAAAAACATTTTCTTTTTTCATTTATTCTCTAAATTACATACTCATCTCATTATTTATTTATTTATTCTAAAATCCTAAAACTAAGTTAAACTTTTTCTATTTTTCATACAATCTTTCTTAAGTAAAAGGGCGCACCATTTCTTATTTTTCAAAAGAACAAAAAAACATAATCTCTTATTTATTTATTTACTTGCTCATAAATTTATTTCATTCATTTTTTTCTTTAAACTCACCTAAATTCATTTTTTTTCATTAAACTCACCTAAATTCATTTGTTTCAAGAAAATTCTCTTTAATTCACCTAAATCAAAAACTTTTTTCATTCAAAATTTCATACATTTATTTATTTATCTAAATTATCCCTACATTTTTTTCTAAATTTCAATATTTTTTCTCTGCACTTTATTCAAAACCAGTTTATTTTTTTGTTCGAGTGTCTCCAATATATAAATTTATACTAAAAAAGATATAAAACTTCATAAAAACAAAACATAATATAAAACTATACAAAAAAAAGAATTTCTTTATTTATTGCTCATTTAATTAATCATATATATAATTTTTTTCTTTCTTTCTTTCTTTCTTTCTTTCTTTCTTTCTTTCTTTCTTTCTTTCTTTCTTTCTTTCTTTCTTTCTTTCTTTCTTTCTTTCTTTCTTTCTTTCTTTATTTCTTTCTTTATTTCTTTCTTTATTT